TCCTGCGATCCTTCCGCCTCAGCCTTCTGAGTAGCTAGAACTACAGGCACGCGCTACCACGCTCGGCTAATTTTTTGATTTATTGTAGAGATGAGGTCTCGCCAAGTTGCCCGGGTGGGTTTCAAACCCGCAGCCTCAGGCAATCCACTCACCTCAGCCTTCCAAGGCGCAGGATTACAGGCTAAGTCACCGAGCCCGGCTACTTTTCTTATTTTCCGAGAACTGTACATAATTTTCTTTCTTGGGTATATTAAAAATATAAATTAACTTTTGCGTCTGTTAAGAGTTGGTTTTTATGTTCTCTTTTTCCTTCTGTAAAAACTATCCTTTTGCCTTTGGATTAAGTTGAACAAAGAGGGGTTTTTCTCAGGTTCTCTGATGACTTGGTTCATGTTCTCTCTGGATGCATAACACTTGGCCTTTTTTTTGTTGTTGAGTTGGAGTCTCACTCTGTCACCCAGACTGGAGGCCGCTCCCAGCCACCGCAGCCTCGACCTGCTGGGCTCCAGCGATCCTTCCGCCTCAGCCTTCCAAGTAGCTGGAACTACAGGTGTGCACTACCACACTCGGCTAATTTTTTTTTTTTAATTTATTGTAGAGATGAGGTCTCGTCAAGTTGCCCCGGCGGGTCTTGAACCCACGGGCTCAGGCAATCTACTCACCTCAGCCTCCCAAAATGCAGGATTACAGGCTAAGCCACCGAGCCCGGCTAACACTTGGCCTTTCACTAAACTACAAACATCCTGCACTAGAGGCCTGTTCTTAGTTCAGGTTCCATTACCTTCTAGCTGTGTGACTTGGACAGGTGGTCTTAAACCATGAAGCCTCCGTTTCCTCATTTGTAAATTAGGTTATGGATGTTGTAAGTATCAAATAATATTTGTGTAAGCACTGTATAGATCTTAAAAGAGAAAAATGTAGGTTATTTAATTGACTAGAAACAGATGTAACTTCTTACCTTCTTCCTAGTTAAATCTGGCTCCAGTTACTTTGTCAGTGTTTTTATAGTTAAATTGCAAAATTCACTGGTTGAATTTTCCTAATGTGGCAAAGGCAAGCAGCTTTTAAACCTAAACCACCACAGAAGAACACTTATCTAAAGTTCCAATTACAAGGACATCCTAATAACAGAATAGTTCTAAGAAATACTTTTTAAAAATTCATTATTTATAAATTACTGTGTAATACTAAAGTATAAGAGTACCTACAATGAATGATAGTTACTTCTGCTTTATTGTAATTCTTTATAATCAGCATGCATCATTTGTGAAAAAACATTTGAATGTATGGCATGTGATAGTTTAATCTGTCAGGCAACACGTGACTGGCAGTGACATTACAGTTGCCTTGAACTGTGGCTAGGGTGTCATGGAATGACCCTTGCAGTGACATCATGGTACATGGATTGGTAATGAATAAATTGTGATAGTTCTAAGTGACTTATGCTTTAGTTGGTAATGATGTTAAACTCTAGAAATGTTATTAATCCAGAAGAGGCTAGATCCAAAAGAGGTTACATCCCAGACATTGCTGGGTAAACAAGCTATGTTTTTGTTTTTGTTTTTTTTTTAGTTGGAGTCTCACTCTGTCATCCAGACTGGAGTGCAGTGGCTGCTCCCGGCCACCGCAGCCTCGACCTGCTGGGCTCCGGCGATCCTTCCTCCTCAGCCTTCCAAGTAGCTGGAACTACAGGCGCGTGCTACCACACCCAGCTAATTTTTGATTTATTGTAGAGATGAAGTCTTGTCAAGTTGCCCAGGTGGGTCTCAAGCCCGTGGGCTCAGGCAATTCACTCACCTTGGCCTCCCAAAGTGCTGGGATTACGGGCTGAGCTACCGAGCCCGACCAGGGTAAACAAGTTATTGCAGCATGTGTTGGCAAGTATTTTTACCAATGTCAATTTTTTTCATTTGTTTTTTGTTGTTGTTGTTAAAACAGTATTTATATATCCATTTAAAAATCTCTAAATGTTTTGCTTGTTCCATTTAGCTAAGGAAGAAAAAGTGGTATTATCCCTGTTGTATAGACAAGGATGATAGCCAAGCCTACTTTGCCCAAAGTCTTAAGGTTTTCAGTTTCCCATGTATGAGAGTTGGTGCTTGCAATGGTCCTTTTCTCATCATTCTAAAAAGATGAACAAAACTGAATTACTCATATATTTATTCTTCTTATCCATTACAGATATAAAGGGAAACTAACCTTACTCCCCCAAAATTTTTTTAAAATCATAAATCTTTTTGTTAATTTTTAAGTGTTTGGATGCTTAAAGAAGACTATTTGAAGACTGCTATTGGAATCAATTAGCATGGATCCCAGCAGTGACTACCATTTCCTCAATCAGTTCTTGTGGAGAAGGGTGAAACTCACATTGGCTTGTGGAATCTTCGAAGGTGTGCTCCAGCATGTGGACCCTAACAAGATTGTTGTCCTGAAGAAAGGTCTCATTCTCTTTCTCATAATCTTCTACCTTTAAAGAGATTAATGACAGAGTTTGAGTGATGACTTTGGGCTCCATTAGCAACTGGGAGTGTGGCATTACTTCTACATTAGGGAATGGTTGGAGGAAGGTTAGGATACTGTTTTTACTAACAAAACAATGTAACTACATATGCTGGTTTTTATTCACTTCTATACTTTCAACATGATAGCACAAATTTTCAATATAAAGTTTTAAAATTGGGTGCTCCTTTTTCTTTTTCTTTTTTTTTTTTCTGAGTTGGGGATCTCACTGTGTTGCCCAGGCTGGAGTGCAATGGCACAATTACAGCTCACTGTAGCCTTGAATTTCTGGGCTCAAGCAATCCTCCCTCATCTGCCTCCCAAGTAGCTGGGACTACAAGCATGTATCACCACACCCAGCTCTTTTACTTATTTATTTATTTATTTATTTGTAGAGATGAGGTCTGGCTACCTTGCCCAGGATTTTGAACTCCTGGCTCAATTGATCCTCTGGCCTCAGCCTCCCAAAGTGCTGGGATTGCAGGTATGAGCCACCACACCCAGCCAAAATTGGGCACTTCTTTTAATTTCTCTCCATATGATTTTTTTTTTGAAGATGTGGGGTACAATTCAGGTTTAAGTATACAAATGTTCCTTATGTGCAGGTTCCCTTTCTGATGAGGTATGCCCCTCCCTCCCCGGCAGCTTCTCTCAACTGCCAATCATATGAATCTTAAAAATAACCACCATATTAGTTAGAATTGCTTTTGGCTTCAACAGACAAATTCACAAAGACAGTAGGGATTAATTTTTTTAATCCAAAAAGTTTAGAGATAGGCTGCTGAGTAATAGTGGCCCTGGCTAAAAGACACCAGCATGGATTAGTGGCGCTCCTGCTCCGCCCCCCTGGTGATCATCTGTCATCCTCATGGTCACAAGGTAGTTTATACACCTCCCAGCTTATCCTTTATGATAAACCAATTCTGGTTTATCATAAAGGATAAACACAGAAACTGCCAAATGGAAAAACTGCAGAGGGCAGGATATGGGGGAGGGGACATAGAATATCCATGCCCTCTCCAGGTGCACTAAGTATGCTAACGTGGAAACTTCAATAGATCAAGTTTATTCAGCTAGAATACTGACTTGCTAGGGAAGTTGTTTCCTGGCATAAGTTTCAAGTACACAATTGATACATGTATAAATGGTATTTGAGAGATGTTACACAGCTCAGTAGAGCTGTATTTTGAGTTAAAATAGACTTTTGTGGACTGGGATGGGACTATAACAGACTTTTGTAACAATTACACATTCAGTAATCATTTATGGATTGTTTTATATCCTAAGCACCGTACTTGGACCAATAATACATATAGGAATAATATGGCCCCAGTTCTATAAAAACTTAGTCTAAGACCAGGCATGGTGGCTCATGCCTATAATCCTAGCACTTTGGGAAGCCAAGGTGAGGGGATTGCCTGAGCCCAGGAGTTCGAGACCAGCCTGGGCAATTTGGCGAAACCTCATCTCTACAATAAATCAAAAAATTAGCTGGGTATGGTAGCGCATGCCTGTAGTTTCAGTTACTTTGAAGGCTGAGGCTGAAGGATCACCTGAACCCAGCAGGTCGAGGCTGCAGTGGCCATGAGCGTGCCACTGCACTCCAGTTTGGGCGACAGGGTGAGAACTCCAACTCAAAAAAAAAAAAAAAATCTAGTAAGGAGACAGGAACGGTGGAGTGTAAAATCCTCTCTGATAGAGGAATGCCCAAGATGCTGTGGAAACACAAAGCCAGCTAGCTACACTAGATCTGGGAATGCTTGGGTTGGAACAGTGTGGAGGTCTCCTAAAGGGAGAATTGATGGTTGAAACTGCCTCTGGCTCATAGTAGTAAGTGATGGAAAAAGAGAAGGTTGTTTCAAGCCAATAGTTCTTAAACTTTATCAGTGCATCAGAATCACCTGGAATACTTTTTTTTTTTTTTTTTTTTAGCCTCCCAAAGGCGTGGGATCCACCGAGCCCAGCTTGGAATACTTCTTAAAAACATTTCTGGGCTGGGTGTGGTAACTCACGACTATAATCCCAGCACTTTGGGAGGCCAAGGTGAGAGGATTGCCTGAACCCATGGGCTGGAGACCAGCCTGGGCAACTTAGCTAGACCTCATTTCTAAAATAAATCAAGAAAAATTAGCTGGGTGTGGATCGCCGGAGCCCGGCAGGCGAGGCTGCGGTGGCCAGGAGCGGCCATTGCACTCCAGTCTGGGCGACCGAGTGAGACTCCAACTCAAAATAAATAAATAAATAAATAAATAAATAAAAATAAATTAAAAAAAAAATCAAAAAAATTAGCTGGGCGTGGTAGCGCGTGCCTGTAGTTCCAGCTACTTGGAAGGCTGAGGCGGAAGGATTGCTGGAGCCCAGCAGGTCGAGGCTGCAGTGGCCAGGAGCGTGCCACTGCACTCCAGTGTGGGCAATAGAGTGAAACTCCAACTCAAAAAAAAAAAAAAAAAAGAAATGCAAAATCCTTGGCCCTTTCCTGATCTTAAGAATTAGAAACTTTGGGTCAGGCTCAATGGCTCAGCCTATAATCCCAGCACTTTGGGATGCCAGGCGAGAGGATTGCCTGAGCCTGGGGGTTCAAGACCAGCCTGGATAACTTGGTGAGACCTCGTCTCTACAATAAATCACAAAAACTGGTCAGGTGTGGTGGTGTGCATCTATGGTTCCAGCTACTTGGAAGGCTGAGGCGGAAGGATCGCCAGAGCCCAGCAGGTTGAGGCTGCAGTGGCCAGGAGCGTGCCACTGCACTCCAGTCTGGGCAATAGAGTGAGACTTCAACTCAAAAAAAAAAACAAAAAAAGAAAGAAATGCAAAATCCTTGGCCCTTCCCTGATCTTAAGAATTAGAAACTTTGGGTCAGGCTCAATGGCTCAGCCTATAATCCCAGCACTTTGGGATGCCAGGCGAGAGGATTGCCTGAGCCTGGGGGTTCAAGACCAGCCTGGGTAACTTGGTGAGACCTCGTCTCCACAATAAATCACAAAAACTAATCAGGTGTGGTGGTGTGCATCTATGGTTCCCGCTACTTGGAAGGCTGAGGCGGAAGGATCGCCAGAGCCCAGCAGGTCAACGCTGGGGTGGCCGTGAGTGTGCCACTACACTCTAGCCTGGGTGACAGAGTG